CACGTGCTACGCAACACTGAGTCTTCGTAATACATGGTGAGCAGGTCAGCCACCCCAGCTCCACCAGCAGCGTCCCCTTGTCAGAAGGCAAAACAAGACGCATCCAGAACTTTAGAATTCTCATGATTGTTTAGAACACAGATGCTGAGTTGAACCATTCAACAGCAAAGAACGGAACCCCTCAGGAGAGGGTTGGAGTGGCAAGACCACTGGAGGGGCCAAGTCCTACTTTCTCAAGGGGTGACAATTCCCACTGACAGCGCCACAGGTAAATAAAGGCACAGATGTGTGGGCTCATGAGCCAAGATTGTGATTAATCTAGTTCTGTGTACCTGAGCTCCCTTATACGCCAGGGACAGACAGCTGACCTCCTCTTGAGCCTACCCACACACAGGACTCCTCTACAGGCTTCTCCAGGGCAATAGAGCTAGTCACAGAGTGGCTGGCAGGAAGGGGGAGGGGAGTGGCCCAGTTTACTAGCTTAGGAAAAGGGCCCTGGAGTCCATGGAAAGATGGTTTCACCTGAGGCCAACGAAGGTTCCTGAAGGATCCATTCCCACTTGACTAAGAACTACAGGGTGCCTAATCTCTGGCCCATTTCCTGTGCCCACTTCAGCAGGGTGGACAACAGCCCTAAAGGAAACTGAGAAAATGAGCATGTGGCACAGAGATGGAAGTTGCAGACAATGGGAGATACTGTGGATCTCAGGGTCCAGCGGGGGAAAGGCCAATCTTTTAAAATCTGGTCTGCTGGGTATAGTGCACACTCCTGTAATCCTAGCACGGGGGAGGCTGAGGCAGGAGGATTGCCATGAGTTTAAGGCCAACCTGAGCTACAAAGAGAGATCCTGTCTCAGAAAACAAAGAGCAATCAACCAGGCATGGTGTCATACTCCTGTAAATCCCAGCACTAGGATGGCTGAAGCAGGACCATTGCAAGTTCAAGACCAGCCTGGGCTACAAAGTGAGCCCATAGCCAGCCTGAACTGCATAGTGAGACCCTGACTTAAAAAAAAAAAAAAAAAAAAAAGCAAAACAAAACAAAGTAAAACAATCCCAAAACTCCAAAACTGGTCTAGAGGGGCTGGGGATTTAGCTTAGCGGCATAAGTGCCTGCTTGGCAAGTGCAAGTTTGCGAGTTCGATCCCTGGTACCAAAAAATAAATAAATAAAATAAAAAACTGGTCTGGAACTGAAGCCTGCTGACGGGAAACCCCTTGCTGCACAGCTTCCTTCCCGTGCACCACCCTCAGTCTGCCAGCACCCTTCTGCCTGCCTTCTTCACGCTCCCCTCTCCTTCAGGGGACTGTTACCCACCCCTTTGGTCTACTTCTGTTGTCCCTCGGACAGGCCTTAGTGTGTGAAAGAGAGCTATGGGAGGCCTTGGGAGGGCTGTTAAGGTGTTTTATTAGAGACAGTGGTTTGCATGGGGCCAGGTTGGCAGGCTAAGGCCCTTTCTTGAAGAAGTGGCAAAGAGAGGTTGGAAGCTGGCCACACAACTGAATGCGTATAGTCTCAGCACTCGGGAAGCTAAGGCAGGAGGATCACTGTGAGTTTGAGGCCAGCCTAAACTACATAGTAAGTTCAAGGCCAGGCTGAACTATATAAAAGCCCCATCTGAAAAGAAAGAAAGAAGGAAGAAAGGGAGCGAGACAAGGAGGAAGAAAGGGAAGAAGGAAAGAAAGAAAAAAACAATAAAAAAAGAAAGAAGGAAGGAAGAAGAAAAAGAAAGTCAGGCTAGGCTAAAGGAGCTGGAGGTCAAGCAGTACTAGACAAAGGCCCGAGGAGAAGGGCTGGATTAGTGCAGGGGATTAGGAAACAGGAGACTGGGTCAGGCAGCACTGGGGCCATGGAGGGCCCAGTGGTGCCAGCTGGGTGCTCAGCCCACACCCTGCAGGTTTGGGGCCTGGCTGGGGTCCAGAGTCAGACAGAGGTAAGTTTTTCACAGAGTGCAGGGGCCTGGGGCTGGATCCAGGCCTTCATCTGAGAACATAAGGCTGAGGGCCCAGGCAGGCTCTCTGTCCTGTGTAGTCCTATGCTGCACCCCATAGTTCCTTTACCAGGAGGAGGGCCTGCCCCAGGCAGCGGGCAAAGGGGAGGAGCCGGCCCTGGCTCTGCAGGAAGTGGCTGGCCACTGCGCTTCCTGCCCTCCTGCATGCAGTCGGTCTGGTCCGGCCCAGCCCTCTGGCCCAGCCGGGTAGGTCTGCGCCAGCACACACAGGATGTACCCAGACATACCCAGCCCAGCACACAAGTGTCCCCGCAGCCAGCGCTTCACATCTGAGAGCATGCTGCTCCCTCCCACTTGCACACACATACCTCCTTACCTCGGCCTCCAGCACAGTGGCCCTAGAGGCCTGGGAATGCTGGCTGCATTCACACACACACACACACACACACACACACACACACACACACACACACGAAGACTCGTTCACCAACAGTATGCTCCCTTATGCATGCACAAATCATATGTACAAACCCCCTTATACTCCTACAGCCATGTACACACCCCCTTGATACTCTGACAGCCACATACACACACCCCCTCACACTCCAACAGCCACATACACACCCTTACACTCCTTCAGCCATTTGGGGGGGGGGGCGGGTATAGAGACAAGGTCTCGTTATGTAGTTCAGGCTGGCCTTGCACTCACTTTGTAGCCCAGGCTGGTCTTGAACTTCAACACTTTCCTGCCTTGGCCAGCCTGAGTGCTGGGGTTACAGGAGTGCACCACCATGCCCAGCTTGCCTTACACTCCTACAGCTTCACATATACTTGCTAATACTTCTACAGCTATATGTACCTTACACTTGTATAGCCACATACATATCCCCTTAACACTCCTAGTCATGTATACATTCCTTGCATTCCTACAGCCACATATACACTCACACTCCTACAGATATACACTCTTACAGCCACATATACACTATCTTAAACTCCTACAATTATGTATACACCCACTTACACTCCTACAGCTGGATATACACTCTTATGCTCCCATAGACATGTATATACCCCCTTAGGCTATGTACACACCCCTTTATACTCATACACACCATGTGTACGCTCCTATACACATCCTCACATGCACATCGAGGCCTTTTCCCAGCTCAGCAGTCACACGCACACACACTCTGGCCAAAAAAAGCCAGATGTGGCCCTCTGGGGAGGTGGGGTTGCAGCTGGCAGGTCAAGGGGCTTCTAGGCGGGGCTGCTAAGCAGTGTCATGGGATGCAAGTGCAGTGCTTGGGGCCCAAGACTGCTGAGCAGCCTTGCCCTCCAGGTCTTCCCACCAGCTGGGAAGTGAGACACACGTGCACATGCAGGTGCAGGTCTCACAGGCATCAGTGAGGCAGTGGTCTGAGGCTCAAGTCCCCTGCCTGGGATGAAATGAGGGACAATGGGTCAGAGACCTTCTGGATGCTCAGACCCCTCTGTTCCCACAACCTGCTCTTCTTGTCCTGACAATGAGCTTCTGAGAGATGTAGAGACGCCAGCTGGAGTCTGCAAAGGCCCTAACTGCCATCTTTAGAGGAAGCTGTGGTGCCTCATCCCTCAATGCTCCCTCCCCAGAGTCAGCAAAAGACAAACAACTGCTCCCTTCCTGTCCATGGCCAGGGGTCCTGTCATCAGACACTAGTGTGTCCTCTCTCCACACAGACCCTCCCGTTGGCCCTGCAGGGGCTGCACAACTGCCCCCCCAGGACCCCTCTGGCAACCTGCTAACAGCTGCAGGTAAATAGCTAAGGGGCCACAGGTGGGGAAGGCCAATTGTTGGGAGACAGGCAGAACATCTGGGGACAGACTCTGGGGTCTAGGTGAAGGGCTGGCATGACTTCGAGAAGGGGCAAAGTGAGCTGGGAGGGAAATCTGAATTCCACTCAGTCCAGTTCCCCAGTGACTGCTCAGGTACTGCAGGGTAGGAAAAGACTGCCTTGAACTAGGCATCATTGACCAACCAGGATGCTCTCAAACCAAAAAGTCTTTTTATTATTCAGTACCATACATGACTCGAATGGCCAAAAACAAAAACAAACGAACAAAAAAAAAAAAAAAAGAAAAGAAAAGAAAAGAAAAAGAACAAAAGAAAAAAAAAAGAAAAAACATTATAATCAGGGTGGGACACTGGCCTGCCTCACCCTCCCTCAGCTCCTGACAGCTCCCTCCCCAGAGAAGCAGCCAGGGAGTGAAGCAGGGTGCCAGGGACCCATGGCCCAGAAGGAGCAGAGGCAGCGTGCTGACACTTCCTAAGTGGCCACAGGAAAAGGCAGCAGGGCTCCCCCACTGCTTCTGGCCTCTCCAGCCTCAGGCCTTGCCTTGGTGTCCCACTGAGGTGGAGCAGAGGTGCCTGTTGCCTTCTCCCAGCCTCACAGCCATGGGGATTGGGAATTGAAGCCCCTCTACCTCAGCTGGGGGCGTGGAGCTGGGGAGCCTCCAGTGGCTGCTCCCCCTTTGTGGAGGAGAGGTTAGGGCCCCACCTGCAGTTTGAGGGGCTGAGGGCAGAGGATTGTGAAAGAGAGTGGAAGAGCCCTTCTTCCACACCTGCCTGCCCAAATGGGGAGAGGAAATGGACAAGCCACTCCCTTCCCTCCATGCTCCCTAAGGGAGATGCCTCCCCTCCCCCCACCCAAGACAGCTGCTCTAGTGTAGGGCTCAGAATATACACACCATGGGGGGGGGACACAGAGGGAGTCACAAGCGCTCAGAGGGCAGGCCAGGGTCCTGGAGGGTGGGGCTGCAGGGGAGGCAGAGACAACAGCAGGGGGTGTCACAAGGACACGAGACCCTTCCCAACCCACCCCATGGTAAGCCTTCCCCAATCCCAGAGGAAAAGGGGAGATGGCAAAGTATCTCCTGGTCTAACACTCTCAAACTATAAAATAGTATGCACACACTCCACTCATTCTCACCCCCATCTGGCCCTAGGTCCTCCATCTGCCAAGAGGGAGGTAGCTGGACTTCACAGGGGCAATAGGGGAGCCATGAGTGATTTTTTTTTAAACTTACGTTTTTAATAATATTATTTTTTTAAAAACTTGGAGCTGGGACAAGAGGCAGAGGGGAGGAAGAGCCCAGAACTTTGCCCCTCTCTCTCCGGCTGTCCAGGAGGAGGTGCATTCAATCCAGCCCCGTAACTTTAAGACCCTAAGGGCTGTGGGTACAGACAACCTCAGGCTCTAAGGGTAAGTCAAGAGGATGGGACCCAGAACCTGGGAGGAGGATGGAAGCAATGCCCTGGGGTGGGGGTGGTCAGGACATCTCAGAGGTCCAGGGTCCACACAGGCATCCGCGTGAGTACCACCCTCCTCCCCCCAACAAAAAGGCTCCACAGGGGCCAGGCCCAGTCCGGGGCCACTGGGGGGCAAATCTTGGCACCTGCCCCAGCGAGTCCAGTTCCTCCCTGAAGTGGATGGATAGAGGCTGCCCACTTTAGATGCTCAGTCTCTCCAGCTGTCTTCTGCTCCCAAGGGCTGTAAGGGGTGGGGCAGGCAGGCAGAGCACAACGTGGCCAGGAACAGGCCTTTACTGGGAGGCCTGTGATGTGGGGTTCTCCGATTTGCTTTCTTGGCTGGACGGGGGCTTGCTGTTCCAGGGGCTGTTGGCGCCCAGTGCAGGGGAGTTGTTAAAGCTGTCCTCGTCGTCAATGCCGTTGGCTGCGTCAAACTGCGTGTTCTCCAGCCGGGTGATGAGCCTCTCGTCCTCGTCCCCGAACTCCCCGCCCATCAGGGTGGGCTCCCCCACCACCATCACATCCTGAGAGTGGTGGAGGTCCCCAAACATAATCGGGGCAGGGGCTCGCCCAGCCCAGGGCAGCAGATAATCCCAAAGCCCCTGTGCCCGCCCTGGAAACTCAACACTGTCCACCCCTCCTCACTGTTCATGTTGGACCCAGCACTCCGACACCCGCTCCCCCAGTCCTTCTCACTGAAGCCTACAGCCCACACTGCCAAACTGTGGGGAGAAACTCCAACCCACTTCCCTAGCTCTCCAGTCCACCTTTCCCAAGCTTTGGGGGTCTCCTAGCCTTCTGTCCATGTAAAAAAAAAAAGGGAGCAAGGGCTGGGGATTCAGTTCACTGGCACAAGCGCCTGCCTAGCAAGCTCGAGGTCATGAGTTCGATCTCCGGTACAAAACAAAACAAAACAAAACACAGGGAGCAGTTGCAAAACATGAGGGGGCCAGGGACACAGCTCAGCAGCACAGTGCCTGCCTGGCAAGGCTGAGGTAACAAGTTCAATATCCAGCACCAAAAACCCCAACAACAGCAAGAAAACACAAGGAAGGGAAACATGTGTGCATGTGTGTGCCTGGACCTGTTACCAGTCTTCGAGTCCTCTAGCAGTGTGAGGGTATGCATCTTTGATGGAGTGCACCCTGAGCTGTCAGGCCTGAACGTCCGTCTGTTGGGGTGGCTGTCTGTCCTTGAATGCTGTGTGTGCCTACGGCCGAGCGGTGTGCCTGCCTGAGATCGTGTCAGCCTGACAGACAATGTTCATGCATGCAGAGTACTCAGGGCAAACTGTCCTGTTTCTCTCTATGCCTACTAATGACCAGGGCCAGACCAGGGTCAGGGATGTGTGGTGGGGCAGCCCCGAAGAGAGAAGAAAGCCGAGATGCTTACAGGTACCTGGCTGGAGAGGGCGAATGTGCTGGCTGGGCTCTTCTTCTTGCTGTTGCTGTTGTTGGTGTTTCCGCCCCCAGAGCTCATGGTGCTGCCCCCTGACATCTTCCGTTTCCGCCGTTTGCTGGGCTGCTGCCGTGTGGGTTCCGCTGTGCAGGCAGAGAAGACTCAGGTGGGAAGAGTGTCCAGGGGCCCCATTTCCCATGCTAGCCACTCAGGGGACCAAACCTACTCTGCCCTGTCGCAGCCCCAGGAGCAGGAAGGAGTGGAGAGACCTTCATAGACACCCAGCCCCAGCCCTGGGAGTCTCACTTACCGGGGGGTGCCACCATGCGCTGCCACTTCTGGAAAAGACAGGTCTTGAGGCAGTCACGGGGGCTGAGGCTGTAGGTCTTATGGCGGGACATGAGCTCCTGCATGGGCTCGAGTATCACACACAGCTGGGGGCAGACCAGGAGGTGACTGTCACGGAGACATAGCATAAGACCAAAGGGGACAGGGCCAAAATGGGGGCCCAGAGACTCACTCGGAGGTAGTTAAGAGTAGAATTGGACAGCCCACAGCGAGTGATATTTTTGGAAAGCTGATCCAACATCTGGGGGTCCTGGGCCTGCAGGGGAAGAAGACAACACTGGCACCTGGGTTGCATGTGCTTAGTGGCCCTGTCATCTGAGCACTGTGACACCCCTGAGGCAAGAGGGGTGACAGGAAGACAACTTCATCCGTCACACCCTTCTCCTTGCCCACCTCTCCCTACACCCCAAGTCTGCCCACAGCTCACATGCATGGCGAGGATGCTCCGGGGGATGAGCTCTCGGTGTTGTCGGATGCTGAAGTGCCACGTCTTTATCCGCATCATGTCGTCGAACATGAACTCCAGGTACAACCGGCCCTCCACACACACCTGGGGACAGGCTTGTCACCATCCTGCCCTCTCCCCACATACCTAAAAGTGTGCCTGCTGCCTACGTAGTTCTCCAGTTTGCTCACAACCCTCCCAGCTGCATATACTTCTGCTACCTGCACATAAAGTCAGGTATCTAATGGATGGAGCACCCCACCCCACATATTTGCCATTCCCGGCCTTTATATACATGCAGACACACAGTGCAAAAAAGTTTTACAGGTCTGTGTGTTTTCCCTATGGAGACAGTGATACCACCTGCTATGAGCTCTATGAGGCAGGTTCACTGTACAACTTAGGACAATGAAAACTATATGCTGAACCATGTCTGCCTTCTTTGTTAGTGCTGCCATTTCCTGCTATGGGCTCCTGGGTTGGGCTACGAGTACACAGCGGGAGAGGAAAATCAAGCCCAGGTAACCTGTGTTCCACATCTGCTGGGTAGCTGACCTGGGTGAACATGGGTTTTCCGTGCTGGGTCACCATGCTGCCCTGGTCACAGTCAAGGGACACAAAGTTGCTGTGGAATGCCTCCTTGGGGTGCTTAAGTACGTAATATAGCTCTGTAGCACCCCCCTCAAAAATGCTGCGGAAGTAGCGTGGAATCAGGGTCCGGCCGATGGCTGCAAAGACAAGATAAACTCTTTAGGACCAAAAAACCAGAAAGAGTCCGATGAATTGGTAGGTTGGTACTTCCAGTCATGTCCAGACCCCAGGGCATCACCAGTGCAAATACTCTGGCTTTCCAAAGGCAGGACCCTACTCACTGTATCTCTTTGGTCCATCCTCCAGGCAGAAAGTGATGGTCAACATGGCATCATCCTCAAAAAACTCTGTGGTGAAAGCATCCCACCAGAGATTGTCACACTCCTAGGGAGACAGAGACAGGTGAATATGTGTCCCAGGACATCCCATTTGCTGCCCAGATGGGCCTCCCCTTCCCAGCTTCTTTTCCCTTAGCCATACCTCTGTCCAATTCTGAAGCCGTTTGTTCAGCTCAAATATTCGATAGTCAGTTTGGTTGCCATAAGGTGTGTGTCTCCTGGGGAAGAGGAGCAGAATGGACAGTAGGGTTGGGGCCAAACCCCAACCACACCTTCGGCTTTCACAGACACAGAGCGTTCCCTTCCATGTGGACTCCACTACAGCGTTCCCTTCCACCTGGACTCCACTTACCCAATCCCAGGCTCCAGGTAGGTAGGTGGGTACATGGGAGTTGGGCTGTGTAAGGGAAGAGGCTATGAGAATGGGGGCAGGAGACAGGAATTAAGAGAGGGTCATTCCCTCCCCTTTCCAGGCAGGCCCCCATCTGAAGGGTTAGGAAATAGGTGAGGACTCACCCCACATCCCGATCCAGCATGGTGCCGGGATGAAATGGGGGAAAGGCGTTGCCGTTCGGGGGCTCCTTCGGTGAGTACAGCTTGAATGACTTTGAGGAACAACCTAAGAAAGAGAAAGAGAGAGCCCCTGAGCCCCTCTCAGGATCTCCTGCTGGATGACATGGACAGGGACTCATTTCTAGCAGTGCTGAGCCCTAAGTAATAGAAAAGAATCTAAAGAGCAGTATCACAGAATAAATGTCTAAACAATGAAGTTTTTATAAACTTTTTAACTATAGCTCTCTTCAATCATCACAACCACTTTGTCAGGTGCAGGGTAAACGACAACACTCCCATGTTACAGACACTGTCATGCAGGGCTGAAAGGGGACTCACCGAGATCACAGTAACTGGCAGAGATAGGACATATGCGCAGACATCCTAACTCCCATATCCTGTACTATTTCTATCTGACTGCTTTACTGCCTGGTAGACACCAGGGTGGGAGAGGAAAACGGGGCCTTTTGGGAACTCTTCCCCTCCTCCATCTCCAGGGTCTCCGAAGGGCAGGGGATAGGGGCTGGGGATTTAGCTCAGCGACATAAGCACCTGCCTTGCAAGCAGGCGGTTGTGAGTTCGATCCCCGGAACCGATAAAAAAGAATAAAAATAAAAATAAAAAAAGAAGGGCAGGGGATAGAACGATAAGAGGGGGGGTGTCTGTTGGGTGCCGCCCACCAGATAACCACTTGGACCTTCTGCCTCCTCCACCAACGGCCACTGCCTTATCAGCCCAACCCCCACACCCACACCCATCATGGGGACAGCATTGTCTCCAAACCAGAAAGGAGACAGAGGAGCCTGCACTGCATCCTTCTGCTTACACATGGAGCCCAGGAGGCCAGACAGGAGCTAGAGGCCAGGGACCTTAGCCCAAGAGACAACTGCGACCATACAGAGGTGTCCACTACACTTGTGAGCACATGCATGAGTAGCCCCTCTTCCACCTCCTCTAGTGCACACAAGTTCCCAGTTTACTGTCTGTTACCTGGCAGAGCTCAGTGCACAGCTAGACTGGAACTAGGTACCCTCCCCTCCCCACTAGAAAGGAGGGGAACTGAGGCACAGCCCCTAAGGCTCTAGCCTCAGTTACTCCCTTTCTCAGGTCTCTAAAACTTGATTGCAAAGGTAGCAGTGCTGACTAAATCTGAGGTGTCTTCCATATAAATAAAAAACAAAACTCTATTTTTTCTTAGGAGGAATAAGACAAAGGAAGACCTGGGCCAACATGTGTCATTTAATTCTCTCCCCGAGGGTCCCTTCTCACAATGTGGGCAAAAGAAGGTCCCACAGGAGCCCAGACTTCTGAGTCCCAGAAGGTGTCAAGAGTGAAAGCTTGTGTCTGCCTGCACACGCGTGTACCTTGCCCTGCCTAGCAGGCTTCACCCTCCACTCGCCCCAACATGCCTGCCAACTGCTGGAGCCCTGCAGGCCCAAGGTGCCTGTGTGCTGGCAGCTGCCTGTGCACCGCATCATAGCACCGGCCGTCTTGCTATGCCAGGCTTGAGCTGGACCTGTGTCTCAGAGCAGAGACTGCCCCCAGCCAGCCAAGACTCCAAGGCCATATAGCCAGGCCAAGTTCACACTACCCAGGAAAGGCCAGGTCTGGACAGCAGATGGGGGGGTCTGGACTCGCAGGACTGACCTGCCTCCCCCACCCAGGCCGTCACTTCCACCAATAGTAGTGACGAGTCCTCTAAAAGAAACTCAAGAACCTGAAGACAAAGGACACAGGACACCTATGTTCCTCACCAGTTCTATAAAAAAGTCTCAAAATCTGTTCCTCTAACTAGGGAAAGCAGAGGCATTGTTTGAGCCTGGCGGATAAGTCTGAGGACCTAAAGCCCACCACTCTGGGTCCTCTATTTACACGTCCAATGAATGGACGCGAATAAATTCAGCACTCTCCCCAGAGTCACAGCATCTCCCGGTAGCCCCAGAACAAGGGGCCAGGAGTGAGAAGAAAAGGGGAGGGACATCACCCAGACCATCTGTCCCAGCTGCTGCCTGTCCCCAGCATTACAGAGGGGGCAGGTGGGGGTGGGGGGTGAAAGGGTCATGTCATCAGTCCTGGAGTGGGACACCCGTCTCCCACCCACCTGCAAGTCCTCAGAACGTGGCTGCACAGAGGGTCCCTGGCCAGCAAAGTTTTCTCAGGGCGGAAGCTGCGTGCGAAGTACTGCAGGGCAGCAGGGCGGAGGGACGCAGCTCCAGCTGGGCATCCCCATGGTAACCACCCCCCGGCCAGGCCCATCCCCTTGGGAGCCGGTCACAGGTCAGCAGCCAGCAGCCCGACCTTGGGCGCTGGGGCACCTCTCCCGGCCCACGGGGCGCAGGCTCAGTCCGTGCAGGCCCTTCCGCCGCCCCCGCCAGCCTGCCGGACGCCGCACTTACCTGGGAGAACTGAAGAGCCGGGGGAGGCGCGAGAGCGCCCCGAGGGGCCCTGGCAGGGGCAGGAGGCGAGGCGGGCCAACTTCGGCGGGCCCTGTCCCGAGCGGGGCAGCCGCCCGCACAAAGCCTGCGCCGCTCAGCCTCGGCCGGCCCCGCGGCGGCCGCAGCCCCGGGGGAAAGTTGCCGGGCAGCGGGCCGCGCGCCGCGGCCGGGGCGCCGCGCTGGGGGGCGGGGGCCGGCGGGGCGCCCGGAGCCTTCTTTGTTCGCACGGTTTCCCTCAACAATGGCTGCTCCGCGCCGCCGCGCCCGACTCTGCCCGCCGCCGCCCGCGGCTCCACCGCCGCGCAGCCGTCCGCGCTCCCCGGGCCCCGGCCCCTGTGCCGGGCGCGGGCCGGGCGGGCCGGGCTCACATTCACGCGCGCTCGCACACGCAGACACGCGCGGCGCCGCCGGCCGCTTCCTTTCTCCCTTTCTCTCCCTCCCGGCCTCCCGCCCCGCCCCGCCTGCCCGCCCGCCCCCTCCCGGCCCCTTCCCCCTCCCCCGCCCGCCCGCGACCGCGGCCCGGGGCGGGCGGGGGAGGAGCCGCCCGGCCCCGCCCCGCGAGCCGGCGGGAGGGCGGGAGCAGGGAGGAGGGCCACCGAGAAAAACAAAAGAGGGACGCAGGCGGGCCGGGCCGACTAGGCGGCCCAGGAGTGACCTGGACGGGGAGGAGGTCGGGGGCAGCCTAGGAACGCACCCCAGCTCCGGGGCGGTGCTCAGGTCGAGAGGTAGGCCTGTGCCGGCCTCCGCTCGGACTCCCAGTCCCTTCCACCCGCCGGCCACACCTCCTCCCAATCACTCCCGTGCGCCGCGATTTCTCAGGTGGAAGCTAGCGGTGGCTGTCACCCCAGGCGCCCCTAGGGAAGTCCCAGAGCCGCTGGGGAGAGGCCTCAGCGGATTGTTTTTGACCCAGACACATGCTGACTTCAGCCTGCAACCGCTGCTTGTAGGGAGGGGACACTCCAGGGTTCCCTGCCCCCAACTCAGCTAAAGTCCAAGCTTGGCTTAGCTTGCCCTAACAGAAGGCCCTCATCCACACTGCCATCCCCGAAGCCACGTGGATGAAAGCATGTCGTCAGAGACAGGGAGCCGACTGCCCACACCCAGGTCTCCGGCAAGGGCGCAGGCGCTGAGTCCTCTCCACGCGGGCAGTGGAAAGGCGGTGGTGAGGTTTAGCGGGGCCTGTTCTCTAGTCTCCCTGGAGGGTGCCCAACAAGGAGAGGCTGCTGAAACCTGGGGATCAGTGCAGACCCTGTTACCTGATCACACCAGAAAAGGCAAACATGCACACGCACATACAGGGTGTCCTTTCATCCTTTACAATTTGAATATATTCTTTATTCCCCCATCTTCCCACAAACACACACACAAGCCCCAGGTCCACATCTGTTAAGGCATCCACAGTGGCTGGCTGTGTAGTCAGAGTGCACCTGGCTCTGATAACACCCTTCACAGATAGCTGACATCTCACCTTTTCACATAAACCAGTACCTGACGCACACCTTGACCTGTGATGCATTCCCAACACATCAAGTCCCAGATGCAAGCACGGAGACACACAGTGTCAGACCCCAACTTTCACATGCACTGTGACTTCTGACACACAGCATCCTATCACTGTGTTATAGCACGAAAGAACAAAGCATGCGTGTTATATAGGGACTTACCCAACAACCCACACTCCCTGAGACCCTCATACCATCCTCTACCACAGCCATGACCATCTGACACAATCATTTAAATCTAAGACATTTGGCCAGGCCTCCCCAATTATAAATCAGCATGAGGACTGAGGACATTCCTACTGACTCCCTAATATACATCCTAACTTGAGCATAGACACACACCTCCCCGTCATTTGTTTCCTGCCTTTAAACTTTCCAAAGAAGCCAGCACCTTATGTGGTCCACGCAGGGTTTACTCCCCACCCACCCCACCAGAACACACAAAATGTCTGTGTGTATGGGGGGGGGGGGGCTCTGGGCCTTGAACCCAGGATCTCACACATGCTAGTCAAGTGGCCACTCCTACACCACACGCCCAGCCCCACTTGAATATTTTATTTGAACAGATCAAAGTGAGACAGGCTAGCCTGAGGTTGGAACTCTGGGCTTCTGAGGCCACTAGAGGTAAACCCAGCCCTGGGACATTGCAACCATTCCGGCTTCCTTCCCCCTCCAGGCCACAGATGACCATCCACAACGCTGGAGGGGTACGTGCTCTGGTTTCTGTCCTCAGCTCAGAGCTCAAACTCTCACCCAGTCTGTCTCCACAGATGGGAGCCACAAAGCCATTCCTTTCTCACCATGAGGAAGGGCACCTAAGTGGCAAAATGCATCCAGACTTTGACATACCATTCTCCAGCAAGCTCTCTTAGCTCCCTTTCTCCAGCAAGAGGGCTCCTGTTCTCCCAGTCCTGCCCTCCTGACCCCCTCAGGGCAGAATAAGAGCTAAAGGAACAAATTGGAGAAGGCCCTTAAATGGGGGAGGGGGGCAACAAAGCATGACAAAGGTGGTGATGCCTAGGAGGGTTCCTCCTGGAGGTGGGGACTCAGGACAGCAGCTGGCTCCAGCACACAGAACAAGGTACCACCACTGCCCCCTGCCCGGGCCCCTGACCCAGGCCTTCAGTGTGCCTGCCCCCCTTCCTTTGTCTGTGCCCGGCTTCCCGTTGGCCTGGCGCTCTGCCATCCTCCTCTCCTGGCTCCCAGCCGCCACCACTGCTGCCTCCCCCCTCCCCCCTCCCAGCCTTAACCCTTCTGAGCCACATGCTGCCCCAACAGGCCCTAGCCCCCTCAGCATCCTGCCCAGGAAGGTGCCCCCACAGAGACCTTGTCCCTGCTTCTGCCCATCTCAACCTCAGATGCTGTTTCCCTCCCAGGAGCACTAAAGGAGCTGGAGAAGGGGTACATGTGTATTCTATGGTGTTTCTGTGTGTGCATGTGTGGTGTGTGGGTCTGCGTGTGCTCTGGCTTCCCTTAGTCACATGTGTGGGGCATGTGCTGTCTCTGCTGGGCTGGGGGAGGAGGAGGAGCCCGGAGACAGCAGAGCACAAAGGAGAGACTCAGACAGGCAGGCAGGCAGGCAGGCAGGCAGGCAGCAGGCGGCCTACCAGGGCGCCTGGGCCCTCACCCCAGGGCTGCTCAAGGTGGTGCTAGGTCCTGGAGTGCTACATGCTGCCATGATGCCCTTGTGTCTAAGTGTGCTTTCACCCACTCATGCAAATCTTGGTCCCTTCTCACTCCAATTCCCACCATTCCCACCTTGGTCACGCAAGCCCTCCCCATATGGTTCTCCTTGGAGTGTGACCTCCATCCATCATCTGTGGCATCAAGCCATAAGATTTCTTCACAACCAGGAGATTCCCTATTCCTAGCCATCATTTTGCTCCTCCTTCAGTCAGGCTGGCAGGCACACAAAAGGAACAGGCCTTGGACACTCATAGACGTTGTCCCCTCCACAAATACACCCTAGGCACGGGCTCCCTCAGAGAGAATGGAAGAAACTTCCTCCTCCCACAGAACTCAGGCACTCTGCCCAATTTTGGAGCCTTCCATCCATCTCTTTCCTGACAATGCCACTATCTACATCCTCTATCATTTGTAGGAACAGAGTGTCAAAATTTAAGACTAGGGGATGAGTGTGGTAGTACATGTCTGTAATCCCAGCTACTTAGGAGGCTGAGGCAGAAGGATCACAGTCTGAGAACAGCCTGTGAATTTACTGAGACCCTGTCTCAAAAGAGGGATGAATATGTAGCTAGCACTCAAGGGGCCCCGGGTTCAATATCCAAGACCAGGGGGAACAAAATTTAGACTCAGCCATAGAGCTGGTTCTGGTTTAGTTTTTGTTCTGCTCATGTGTAGTCATGGTGGGTAAGGATCCTGAGGTTGGCTCAGAGCATGGATGGATCTGAACCGGGGTAACCAATATGGGCTAATTATAAAGGAGAAAATACATGAACAGGGCATACCAAGCTGGTAGGTGAGGGATGATGGAACCAGGTAGGATTCCAGTTTGGCAAGCTTCTCCCTCACTGTCTCCCTTACCCTCTGCAGCAGGAGCCAGAGGTTCCCACACCCAAATATTCCAGGATTCTCAAGCTTTCCCAGTCCACCCTCTGGGCCCTATGTCCCTATGTTCCTTCAGTATCAGCCTCAGCAGGCACTTGAAATATATGCCCAGCCCAACCCAGCTTGGCCAGAGGTCACATGATTTTCAAGGAAGCTTCCACCCTGGCAGCTTTCCTCGGGGACTGTGTGTGTATTGAGGGGGGTCCAGTTGGCAAAGGATCCAAACCAGATAGATTCCTGGAGAAAGCTGACCCAGAACAAGAGAGCCACTTTGAGGACCCAACGTCCTGAGGAAAGGGTAGATAATATTCTGAGGCTCTCTGCAGACTGTCTCTCTAGTCACATGGTTTTTCCCTCTTCTTAGCAGCTGACCTACAGCCTACTCTCCAAGCCCAGAAAAAGAACTCAGACCCTGAAGAGCTGACATATGTTTTGGGGAGGCAGTGATCTGAGCCTGGGTCCTGTTATGTACTTTAGAGAGGTCAAGCATTGCTCCCCATAAGTCAACTGTGCAAGTCACCGATTTCCCTACCCTGCCTGGGCTGCCACCTTCTCCTTCCCAAGGCAGAGATGCCAGACCCATGGGCTCAATTATAGGGCACCCCTAAGGAGTGCCTCCTGTCCCTCTGGAGGGCCAACCTTCCCTGGCAACAGGCAGGAAAATGGGGAACAAAATGAGCCCCAATCAATCCCTCCAACAGGCAGGAAAAGGGGGAACAAAATGAGCCCCAATCAATCCCTCCCGTAATAGTGTCCTCAGGAACTGCTTGAGGTGGGGTGTCACAGGGTAAGTAAGAGGCAATAGGCAGCAGGAGGGGGGGGGGCAACGCAAAGCAGCCAATCACAACTCTATGATGACCCGAGGGGGGGGTCAAAAGTCCAGAGTCACTTCTGATTGGCTATCACCTTGGAATTCTGGGAATTTCGGCCCCCCACCCCTCTCCAATTAGTCCCCCCCCAGCTACCCCCAGTGCCCCCTCCCCGCACCTCTAGGTTGCTGCGCATTTACCCAGTAGAGCAGGCCTTCCCGAATCGCGGGCCCGCTGACCCCTCGCGGCTCGCGGTCCTCGGCCTCCCACGCCCCCGATGCCCCCATCCTGGGTGCAGGGTCCCCGGAGAGGGCCAGGCCCGCAGCCGCGCACCCCACTCACCGGGACAGGCACAGCCCACTGACATCTTCACATCGCCCGCCGCGGAGGGCCCAGCCGAGTCACGGAGCCCGCCCCTCGCGGGGACAGGCCGGGCATGAGCCGCCGCCGCCCGCGGCCCCCGCTGCCCTCGCCGCCGGCCCGCCCCGGCCCGGCCTCGGCCCGGTACGGGGGGCCCCCGGCTGCGGCGCGGGGCCCGGCAGGCGCGGAGCTGACGGGAAGGAAGCCAGGCAGGCTGGCGAGCTGCTGTGCGTGCGCGCGCGCCCGAGCGAGTCCGCGCGCCTGCGTGTGCGCGCCGCCCCCGCCCGCGCCCGCTCCCTCGCCCCGCGGGGCCGCCTGCCCCTGCCGCGCGGGCAGCAGATTAATAGGCTGGTATCCGCGGGTGGGAGGGGGCGGCCGTGTCAAAGT